TCTGCTCATTGCCTTTTAAGCAGATGGAAAATTCTGGAAAGGAACTTCACTTTTTAAAGCTTACAGGAGGTGCTGGTTGGTGCCAAATTTCCAAGGAAAAAAACCAAATTCAACCAATTTACCCCCCACTGGGGGAGTACAAAAAAGAAGGCAAGCTAAGTCTGAAAGCTCTAACAATGGTTTAGCACCAATTATCCATGGGCCTTCAGGCCTACCACCTACCAATCATGCAAGTAAGTTTAGATTATTGCAAAGACCAGACACCTCTGCGGTCCTGCTAGAACAAACCAAACAAAAATCATTCTCTGTGTGTCTTCTTTTCTGTGACTGCTTTGGTTACCTCAACTATCCACATTTAATAATTTGGCAAAGGACATGGCAGGTGGAGAGAAATCCCAGTATTCTCACTATATCAGGGATGCTTTCTGGACTTCCTCTTAGGAAACAGGAAACAGCATAGCAGAAAACAACTTCTGGGAGTCTGCTAGTCAAGGCCTGGGAACCAAGGTGATGAGCGGGTAACCTACCACTCCCACCGATGACAGGAACGGTCCGCTTACCAACATCCCCAGCAAAAAAAAAAAAAAAAAGTGCTTTTTTGATATTTCCATACTACATCCTCACACAAGACAAGGATTTGGTTCCAGAGCCAGTAAAACAGGAAAGTGCCAGAACAGAATGCCTTCAAATGAAAGAAGCAAAGGGATAGGGTCTAAACTGAAGCAGTGGTAAATTATTGTTAGAAACCAGAACCATTTTGGAGAATGATTTGGTTTTCTGTCAAACAGGCCGGGACCATTGTGGAGCACAGAATGAAGCCCCGGAAAAATCCATCATCCTTCTGTGATGGATGGGTAAGGCACTCAGCCCAGCCCCATGTTAGGTGCAACCCAGGCATCTACGCATGTCCTGGCCAAGGTGGCAAGTCCCACAGCATTTCCCAGTGCTCGCCCTCTCCCAGCCCTCTTTGTCTTCCATTGCAGAGCTGTGCATTCCACTGCAAACAGAGCCTGCCATTGAGCCATTTTTTCTCTGCACTGAACATAGTTTCTGCTGCCAGGATGAGTCACCATGCAACACATACCCTCATCCCCTCCACGCTGTACTTAAAATACTCTAGGGCTGGCCGAACAGAACCCCACTGTGAGTGAGCACGTGTGTGAAGGTGGGATTGGCAGCTCAGCCCTGCGGAGCCCTCTGCAGAGAGTCTGCACTGTGTTTGGCAGAGAGATTCAGAGAGCCAATATTTGGGGAGGGGCAAAGAGGGGAAGCTCTGTTTTTCAAATCTGGTTTGACCTCTTGCAGCCTGCCAAGTTGTACCCTCTCTTTTGCAGGAACCCTCACTTTAGCTTCTCTGATCTTGAACAGAAGGATCTTACTGCTAGGGGTTGATGTGTCCTGCCTCTTCTCCCAGCCCAGCTTCTGACTGGCCACCTTGCTACAAACAGGACTGCCCTGTCCTGCTTTTACCTGCCAGCCTGTCTGCCTCCAGTGTGGATTTTTCTTCAATCGCAACAGCATCTAGTCATTTCCTGAGTTAGAACTTGTCATCCTCACTGGGACGGAGGTCTCTCACCACTCTCCTGCCATTCCTGCTCTCTGCCTCCCCTCATCCACCCACACACAGAGCACTACCTTGGGCAGAACCAATCACAGGACTCCAGAACCATCCCTCTTCCCCAGACTGCACTGAAAAAAGGGATTAGAAATTGTTCTCTTCCTCCTGAGCCTTTAAACTGAACTGAATACTTTCTTTCTCCTTTCTGCAGAGAAGCACTGGATTTCCATAGGCATTGACTGAAAAGTTGTCTTAGTTCCCCACAGTCCACACCCTCTTCCACGCCCAGCCACACCCTCCACCTGCCGGGGTACCCCTCCCTTTGGAGAACCACACGTGTTCCGCTTTCAACCTGCTGCTACAGCACCCTTCACAGAAGGGGCCTTGGAACAAAAGCTTAGCTCAGCACAGCCCAAAGGGACACAACGTGCTTGAGTTATTCATTACTTGAGTTGGAGGAGGTCACAGAGCAGGAAGCGCACTGGAAAGCAAGGGGAAAGGTGGCAGAGAGGGTGGGGAATGCATCAGGGTGACCTTCTAGGGCCTGATGGGAACTCAGAGTCCTGGTAGGGGGTGGGTATCATAGTGGGAAGGTGACAAAGTCATAGCAAGAGCCCCAAGGTTAGCCAAGGTCAAATGGAAACAGCTGATTATAATTAAGCTAGCTACTTAGTAGCTCTTGCTATGCACCAGGCACTGTGCTTAACACTTTCCCATATCTCTCCTTTTATCCTCGCAATAATGTAACACTTCAATTTTATGACTGAGGGAACAGCCCTGGAGAGAACAAGTGACTTGCCCAAGGTCACCCAGCTAGCATGCCTGTTCTGAAGCTGGGAATGTGAATGTAGGTCTTTACCAGCTTGTTCTGTGTGGTGAAGTGGTTAGATGGGTGGTACAATTCCAGATGGTCTAGAGTGGCTGGGCAAGTGGAGTCTGAGATGAGCTACTGAGATAAATCTGGTTCCTATAGGACTGAGATCATGTTCTCCAGCAGCAATCCCAGGTCTGGGTGGAAACCCGGAGGTTTTCAGGAAGCCTGGAGGAGGCTGGCTTAGGATGAGTTGCTGCATTGGCTATGCAGATGTGACCCTCAGGACTTTATCAGAACCTGTGAAGAGTTTCCATGCAGGGAAGGGGGGATGAGTAGAGCTAGGGACCTAAAATTTGAGAGGGGAAGATATTCCTCAGAGGAAGACAGTAAATCAAAGACTAGAGACCAGCCATCAGTCTACCAGGTGTTTGCTACACCTCTGAAGAGCTAAGGTAGGACACTTTTTTAGGAAAAAAGAAAATCTGTCACTGGAGACTCTCTTTACATATTTTGTCTTACCATATGCTTCTTCTGGAAGGGGGGTTGGGAATCAAGCGTGAGGTACAGGAACGGAATGGGCACAAGTAAGGGCAGAACGGCCTCCCCGAACCGCCTCATCCCTTCCCATTCTACCCTTCCCCCACTCATCTCTTTTTGCTGATTCTGCTCACAGGTTTTCCTTCCTCTTACAGTAATGGGCACTCAACAACACATACCCTTCCCAGCAACCTGTGCTTCTGGAAACTCCTTGATAAGGTAACTTCTGCCCGAAGGGGACCAGGGGCCTCATATCCGCAGGTGCAGCCTCTTCCTGCAGCTCTCATACTACTAAGCTGGGGTTTTTCCAACATAAACATGACAGGGGCTAAACAAGAGGTGGCTTCCTCCCCCAATAAGCTGTTCTCTTTCTCTGTTGCCTTTGACAGAGCCCTGCAGCTTCCCCCACTGGGGCTTGGTGGATAGGTGGTCGCTTCCCCCCCGAATTTCAGGAATGTTCAGGTTTGCACAGGTCCTGCAGGCGAGCCTGGAAGATTAGAAAAATGCTCATTCTTAATCAGTTCGGGCTTGTCTTTATGCCAGCGAGGTTGACCTTGGCGACAGAAGGGTGGCCAGGACAAGGACAAGCATCCTGGTACTGGGGAATTCTCTGATATGGGGCTGGGACATCAAGATGGGCCATGATGGCCCCTGGGGATGGGGCTTCTCTGCAGGGGAAGCAGAAGCAGCCCGGCGTTTTCTGCTGTGTCACTGCCCTCGGAGAGATGTATAAAGCTGCTCGGGGGCTCATAACAGGGGGATGAAACCAAGAGTTTGGCTTTCCAGCAACAAGCGGATAAAGGGCGGGAAGGGGTACTCTATGCCCCAGGTCTGCAACATCTTGCCCTATGCGCTAGGTTTTCCCAAAAGTCCTTTGGCTCCAAAAATTTTACAGCAGAACAAAGGGATCGATACCCCCACGGGGGCATACAAGCATGCCAACGAGAATACCCGCCGCCGACCTGGCACCAAAGAAAGTCCTCGGTGGCTGGGTCGCAACCGGTTGCCACGGGACAACTCACTGCGGGCTACTCCTCCCGAGCCCTAGCTCCGGGCTACCGCCCTGGGTGGGTTTGGCAATTGTCCTGCTCGAGGTGGTTCAGGCCGCCCACAAGGGGCACAGCCGGGCAGTCAGGAACCGGGGCTGCCTGCTGGGCTGGCCTGCAAGGAGAGGGAAGGGCCGGAACTGCAACCGCAGTGGCGAGGAGTGCGAGGGGGCGGCAGGTGCAGGAGCTGGAGGCGGGGCGGAGCTGGGCAGAGTCCTAGCCGGTCCGGCGTCCCGGAGTGACCTTCCCCCAGCCCGCCAGGGCCCAGGAGGGGTGGACCCACAGGCCAGGGAGGCCGAAAGCGCGAGCGGGCAGGCGTGGGGGCTGGGCCATGACTGCCGGACCGGGGTCCTCGGGGCTCCGGGCGACCTAGGTGCGGAACACCCCAATACAGAAGAGGAGGTTCGTGCCCAGCCGGGAGCTGGGAGGAGGCTGCGAGGCGCTGCCTGCGCGTCCCTCACCGTCGCCCCCACCTCCTCCGCGCCCCGCGCCCCGCGCTCCAGTCGGCGCCTCTAGCCCCGGCGGCTCCTTTGTGCCGGCCCCGAGCCCGCCCTCTCGGGTCGAGTCCCCGCCCCCCGCGCCGGGATTGGCCACCCGGGCCGCTAGTGGGAGGGGCGCGCGGCCACCGAGGCGCGGTATATAGTAAAGGTAGGGCCGGCGCCGTCAGCCAATTCGTCGGCTCGTGGCGGGCGTGGTGGTTCCTGCCCGCAGTCCGCTTGTCCGTCCTTCACTCTGACTCTCCTACCCCGGCTTGTCTCTGCAGAGGTCACGGGAGGCGGGGGCCCCGCACACGTCCCCAGTGGCAGCGGGAGCGGCAGCTGCGGGTTCGCGGAGCCCCCGAGCCCCCAAGGGCTAGAGGAGCGCTCGGCGGACCAAAGAAAGCCCGCGAGCGGCTGCGCGCCCACCAATAGGTGCGGGGCTCGGAGCCGCGCAGCCTGCGCCGTCCCTCCCTCCGCCCCCGCCCCGCCGCCGCCGCCGCCTCCCCCTCCTCCTGCTCCTGCCTCGGCTCCTCCGCCGCGCGTCTCGCACTCCGAGAGCCGCATCGGCAGCGGCGCGTCCTGCCTGCGGAGAGCCAGGCCGGAGAAGCCGAGCGGCGCAGAGGACGCCAGGGCGCGCGCAGCAGCCACCCACCCTCCGGACGGCGGCAGCTGCTGACCCGCCATCGCCATGGCCCGCGGGAAAGCCAAGGAGGAGGGCAGTTGGAAGAAATTCATCTGGAACTCAGAGAAGAAGGAGTTTTTGGGCAGGACCGGTGGCAGTTGGTGTAAGTAAGGGGTCCGCAGCTCCCGGCCGCCGCGTCTAGTCTTTCCCGGGCTGCGCATCCCCTGCGCAAGCTCCGCGGCCAGTTCCGCACCCGCCCCGCTGGCCGGGGCGGCGGGGGCGAGGATGGTGGGCGCTGCTGGGTCGAGCCGGCGTGGGCTTGCAGTCCTGTGCGGAATGCGGAGTCCTCAGAATGGGGCGCAGGGTCGGGGTTGGAACACTACAGGCAGAAGGTTATGCGTATCGTAGCGATCTTGGCTTGGTAATTTGCAGTCTTTCCTACCGTGCATCCGTTGAGTCCTTTCCTCCTGGGAATGGTCAGGCTCTGCGAGACTACATCTGTCTCTCCCGTGTCCTGAGTCCTTAAAAAAAAAATGAGATCTGGGGTCGTGAGAGAACCTCGTGAGGTAATGGGATCTAATGCGGGCGAGGTTGTGTGTTACAGCATCTTTTTTCTAGTCTAAATACGTACCTCAAAAGAGAGAGGAAAGAGAAGGGTGGAGAGGAATCCATCCACACACTGCGGTATTTCACAGCGATGGCTAAGGGTTTCCCTTCACGACCTCCCCTGGAGTCATCACCACCCAGAAATGGTTCAGTAAGCTCCATTTCAGGACTCCGATTCTTAGCCTCGGCCCGAATCCTGGCAAAATCTGGTTGTTTTCACAGACAGTTGTGGATCAGTCAGTAGGTTGGGTTGATTATGGTGAAGGGAATATAAACGCAGAGCAGCTCATCTTAAAATATTTTGTGCAGCCTGTTGCTTGGTTGGATAGACTTTTTTTTGCCATCGAAAATTAGATTCCTTGTTTTCAGCCTCTCCGGAAGGGTGACTTTTTTTTTTTTTTTTAAGGTCATTTTGAAGGGCAGAGTTGTAGGCGAATCTATAAGAGTCGTGACTGCGTGAGGGAAGGAGGGAGGGAACTCCCCTTGCTGCATCACTGCCCCCTCCTCCTCCAACATCATCATCATCATGACCATCACCACCAACACCACTGGCACCACCAACACCACTGGCACCACCACTGCAGTCATTCAGGGAGTTCTGAACAGAGGCCGATCGGTGTTCCTGGTTGGGAGGATCTGTGGGAATCGGCAGGAGAATGAGTCAGGGAAATAGTGCTTAGCTGACATTTTGAAATGGAAGACGCTGGAATATATGAATTTTTGTAAAGAAAAAAAAATGCAGCTTGTGAGTCTCTCTTGATTGAAAAGTAAAGGGTTAATAATGCATCACACTTCAAGGTTAGTCAAGGTGAAGCCTCTTTCCAAGGTGTTAACGGGGAAGCATAGGTATCCCTGAGCCATGGAAAATGGAGTTTTTTAAATGGCTTTTAGCTTTTGTTTTATATTTTATTTCGGGGAGACTGTGCTTCATTGAGATTATTCATGGTGTCTCAGGCATAAAGGTAGTTTCCTGTGTTTTCATGTGGAAAGGAAAACCTGAAGAACTGTGAGGTGTGTGTAGAATGAACAGCTCCCTGGCAGCTCCTTGTAACTTGAGGGAGGCCTGGGAGGTGCACTGCGGTATAGGCACCCTTCTGCCAAGGTTAGCTGGGGCTTCCTTCTCTGGTGGTCTGACCCTGCTGCGCCACAGGGGCAGAGGCTGCACTGACTCTAGGCACATTGTGAAATTTGCCTTCTTGTCTTTTTCCCCTTAGTAAAATATGTATCGTTCCTCATTCCAATTTCATGCTGCTTAGAATAATATTTGCTTTAGAGGGCAAGGCTGTATGGACTGACTCAGTCTTTAAGCCGACATTTAATGGGCAGCACCTCCATGAGAGAGAGAAAGAGAGACCGTGTGTGTCAATTTTTGTGTCTTGGTAACCTATCCAGCCAGCTATCAGTAGGCTGATTTATGAACGGAGACCCCAGGACTGCTGTACTTGCCCCCTCTTCCCTTCCATGTTCCACGGTACAGGTGCTGTGCTAAAAATCCCCTTTTTGTTTTGTGCTAATATGTCTGCCCCTTTCTGGCAGTGTAAGAACTGTCAGAGCCTCTCTTAGGTAGAGAAGGTGGCAGCAATTACCATCTCCTATGGAGAAAATGCCCCCTTTTCAGCGCTGGGCCCAACATGGATGCCCTTGGGGCGAGGGCAGGATGCCCTTGGCTCGGTTTTGCTTCTAGGTAGATTTTCACCAAAATGGACGCAGGAGACTCGCCTGTCACCTGCTGGAGAAATCACAGCATGCAAATCACTTTGTGCCTTCCACCTTTTTATTAGGTTAATACAGACATTGGTAGGTTTTTATATTTACAGCTAGGCCTGGATGCCTGCCTGTGACCTTTTGAAGGGTACACACTGTTTGCTTGTTTTTCCAAAGAAAACCCTCTGTATTACTTTTTTTTTAAAGGAAGAAAAATTGCTTGAAAGGGAGATGCCTCTGAAGCCTCCCCACTCCCCTCACAGTGCCACCCCAGCTAGTTGGTGTGACTTATCTAGCCTTTTTTTGGCTGGTGGGGGGGAGCCCCTGGTGGCCTGTGTCTGGGTGAGCCACTGCATAGGCCCTTCTAGTCCTGAGTGCTCCACTCTCCCAGTGACCTCATGGCAGTAACTAGGGAGATTTTATCAAGTAACATCTCAGAGCAAAAAGGGAAAATTCCTCGCTTTTCTTAGGATATCGTGTGGGCAGAATGGAAAGGCTGTCTGTCTCTGGGCTTAATCAGTGTACGTGCAAAATAACTTGTTTTTTCATTTGCTCTTATTTGTATTTTAAACTGTAGCCTCAATTGTGTACCCTCTTATGTTGTTGGAAGAATTAGGTATCTGGAGTCCAGGCAATGAGTATAGAGATGTTTCAGTTGTTCAAAGGGGCACATGTAGGTAAGCTAAGAGCACCAAGATGAGGTGGGGGTGGGGGGCAACAAGAGGAAACTAGAATCAAGGCTACGACAGCTGTCTTGCTGATTGTTACACCAACTCTTGCACCTCTTAGGAGCATTCACTGGAAAAATTTTCCAGATCTCTTGACGTCACAGAGTTTGCCATTTGCCTACTGCTGCTTGGATACAGAATGCAGCACTTAACCCTTGTCCTGCGGGGAGGGAGTGATTGAGTTGGGCGCTGTAGTTCTGGATTACACAACTTTTTCTTTCTTCCTTATCTTTGCTTCTGTCTTTGCCTTTTTCCTTGTTCTTTGCTTTCGATAGAGGAAAAAAGGACAATGATTAAGCATTTTGGTGTGGTTTTGTGTGTTTTGCTTGTTTTAACAGCTCTGTAGCCTGATTTCCCTTAACTCTTTCGTGCCTGATTGGAAAGTTGGGCTTTTAAATGTATGGACAGGGCAACAAGGCTAATTCCTGCTGTTGTGTACCCACTCCCTCCCTGGCCCTCTCCTACCACATATATACTAATACTCTTTTTCAGTGGCTTTTCCCCCAGGTACCCTGGCATTTAATGCATGAGATCTGGACCTTCTCAGCAGTAACCTAAGGCTCCTTTGTGCAGTCATGCTTCTGACGCGATAACCTTACAGTTCACTCGTTCCCTGTTTTGCATTCACATTGAGTTGTTTGGCTGGCACAGGGCTGCCAGGCAATGCCTAGTACAGCCTGTTACTATGCGGCTAATCAGGGAGATAATCCTTGTAAACCAGTAACTGATAGCCACCCTCATTCCCATCTATGTGTTGAGTCTTTTTTTTTGGTTTTGCAGCTATTTCAGCCTCCATCCTGTTATCTTGTTAACTATGGGAAAAAGAAAATGCAGCCCAGCAAGTCAGTCATTGTTCTGGTTCCAGTTCCAGAAGATGGGATTAAAATGTGCTGGTCATTTTCGCTATAGAATTTTCTTTTTTCCCCCTTGTCTTGTCCTCCGAGGGGAAAGACAGTGTGTGCTTTGTTGAAAATACAAACCAAAGGGGAGAGCGATAGTAAAAAAACAGGAGGATATCATCATTGGGTTTCTCAGCATTCATTGCTCTGCCGCAGCAAAATAACCCTCAGGCATCTGAGCATTTGGAGAAGCAGCAGAGCTTGGATTGTAGTATTTAAATGTCAAGGGATATACAAGCAAAGAAAACATAGGTCTCTAGGGGAGTATATTGTCATATTTTAAATTCATTGCATAAGCATCCATACATAGCTCTAGATTTTATTGGTGATCTTCATGATTTTTTTTATAATCTTGAGAATAAAAAATATGGATAAATTTTTTTCAAAATTTAGGGAATTAAAAAATCTAAGGATCCTAGTTCTAGCTGAACATTCCTCCTACCCTTAACCACCTCCCATACACGCTGTAAGTGGAGGGCTGCTCAGCCTCTCGATTTTTACCCTGTGTCAGTGGGAGTGAGGTGCACTCTCTTGACGTTGGACAGGGAAGAAACCAAACGGGGTGGGGGAACCAAGAAGGAAGTTTATTCATCCGTGGGAAGATTAAACTTTCATTCTGAGCATATGACTGCATCACAGCTTTTTGTTTCTGTTCTTCTTGCAGTTAAGATCCTTCTATTCTACGTAATATTTTATGGCTGCCTGGCTGGCATCTTCATCGGAACCATCCAAGTGATGCTGCTCACCATCAGTGAACTTAAGCCCACATATCAGGACCGAGTGGCCCCACCAGGTAAAATCAACATGAATAGCTTCATTTCCTTCAGAGATAGCATGGGTGTCACGTTTTCTATTGAGAAAAAATGATTTGGAAAATTACTCTATAATGTAGTTTTAAATGAACCATGAAAAGGAAAAAGAGAAACTTCTCTCGGCTGCAGCCAGATGTCCTACCCGCATTGCAGGCAGAGCTCCCACGGGTTGCAGACATCTTATTTGCCCACTTCTAGAGTGAGGGTGAAGAGTCCTGGTTCTTGGCCCAGCCTGCTACCCACCAGCTATGTGACTGTGAACAGATTGAGTTCTGATGGCGGCCCTGGTCTTCTCGTTTGTCATATTCTAGGGTTTGGTTAGTGGGATCCTTTCCAGACCTTTTCGAGTCTAACAGACATTTTTTTTACTTCTTGAGGGGGGCTATGACTCAGATAATTCCTTTAAAAAAAGTCACTTGGGCTCCTGTTTTAAAAGGTCGACTTATTTTTAGAGATGTTAAGAAGCTGTGGAATGGGCAGCTCCTCACAGGGAGAGGAGCTGTGACTTTAGGGGTCTGTTGTCCCACCTGCTGTTAGTTTGCAGTTTGACCTTGAATAAAGTCACTCTCACTTCTCAATATTTATACCCATTGATTTAATAAGCGTCTCGTTTGCCGGCTTTCTGGTCCCACTTTGTAGTTTAATTAACTGTCTCCTTTAGCTCTTAAAAACTTGGGTGAACAAGAAGATTATAAGAAAATAGAAACTGCCGCACGAGTCCCTGCTGTGACTTGAGTGCCATCAGTGTAGAGCTATGCGTGTCCACACCAGTCACGAAACGCCGTGAAAGGCCCACTGCCATCATGCCTGAAGCTGGTAGAACAAGACAGTGGAATAGCCACAAACGTGAATTTGCCATCTGGCTGTTGTAAAAATCATTGTCTGGAGAACCTAGAGAGAAAGTGTTGCGTAACTTCTGGGTTCTCACTTATGAATGACCTTGGGGCTGCTGCTGAGGGGTGGCAATGACTTGTCCCTTCTCTGCTTTCCCTTGGCAAAGGTTTAGTAACAGCTGTATTTAGGTGACAATCTTCAGATGATCTACATGGCCCTGAGCACCCTAGATCAAGGGCCACTGCCTGCCACAGACTTTTCATGCCCACCGACTTGAATGTGGGAAGGATTCACAGAGGAAGATCTTCAAAATACGGAGGTGGCAAGCATTGTTGTGTAGCCCTAAGTCAAATAGTTCTCCACTGTAAGAAAAACTCAAAATATTTCCAGATAAATTTAGATCTGAGGGATTGGGGAAGTGGAAAAAAAAAATCACATAAGTAAGTAACATGACTTAAATCTGCTTAATAATCCAGTTTCCAGCAGCTGTTTTCCACAAGAGGTGGGTCTGTGGAAAGGTTGAAGCAAGAATTCTGGAGTACGCAGAGAAGCTGAAACATGTTTTACGTTGGGTTCGGTGATAGGGAAGCATTGTGTCTTTTCATGTCCTCTTCTACTAGAACTTTTGTGGTACCATTAGTTGTAATTTTAATTGGTGCAGGTATTTTGTTTTTGTTCTTTGTTTTGCCATTTAAAAGTTATTCCTCCATCATGATGCGATTTTATAATTTTTTTTTTTTTGAGACAGTTTTGCTCTGTCACCCAGGCTGGAGTGCAGTGGCACAATCTCGGCTCACTGCAGTCTCCGCCTCTCAGGTTCAAGTGATTCTCTTGTCTCAAAGAGCTGGGATTACAGGCATGTACCACCATGCCTGGCTAATTTTTGTATTTTTAGTAGAGACAAGGTTTCATCATGTTGGCCAGGCTGGTCTTGAACTCCTGACCTCAGGTGATCCACCCACTTTGGCCTCCCAAAGTGCTGGGAGGTGTGAGCATGAGCCACCACGCCTGGCCTGCTGCTATTTTATAATTCTTATACTCAAAGCCAAATATGACTACAAAGTTAAATATTTTCTTCAATTTCCTAGATTAAAAAAAAAAAGGTCACTGAGTATGTGAACTTTGAGGAGTCAGCCTTTAATAAAACTAAAAATTCTCTTTGTGCCCTTTGCAGAAAGGAAAATTTCACTTTGGAAAAGAAATAGCCAAAGTGCCCGACCTTGTAAGTAAGGACTTGGAAATGACCTTGCCTGTAAATCAACGGGCAGAAGTGCTCGGTCCTTTCCAACACCCTCTCACCGCGCCTTGCTCCCCTTCCTTCCATCCCCTTCCTAAAAGACATGTTCTTAGTACCTATATTTAGTGTGCTCGCAGCAGTTGGACTGACCTGACAAACCCTGACTTCTCCAAAGGAATGCTGGTGGCTCATCTTGGAAAAATGCATTCCTGTCCTGTGGTCTGAGTCACAGGAAAAGTCCTCAGTCCTCCATCTTCCTTGTTCTTTGGCCTGGTAATTTCTGTCTCTTCTTTTCCTCATCCCTTCCCCCATCACCTTTCAGGAGAGTCTAGGCCAGGCCCCTCCTCTTCACCTGCCTTACCCTGTGGGATTTTTCGGGGCCTTTACCAAGGGACATGGCATCCATATGGAAATGATAGTAACCTGAGTCAGGCCAGGCCAGCAGAGTGCCAGCTGCTGCAAAGTGCAGCCCTTGGACCACCCCTTATGGCCCTGTGTTGCCTGAGGGATCCTAACTGGACCCTCCTTGGCATTTTTCAGAGTACATGTTAGAAGTTTGTATTTTGCATAGGAAATAACTCCTTACATATGCAGACTAAACAGATGTGTTTGAGAATACCCTGACAATTTTTTGACTTCACATTAGTATCTTTAAAGCCTCCATTTTCATGTTAAAGAGGGAAAATTGTCAATTTGAGTTAGATACACCTAGTGGGTGTGAAAGTTGGCACATGATTTAAAGATATAAGGACTTACTAATAATATTATCTGCTGAATTTGAGGCATGAATGCACATCCAGCCTGACTGGGTATTGACTGCCCTTTGTACACTGGAATTCCTTGTAATTGGATCTCTTCTCAGTGACGTGTGAATGTGGCCATATCAAGCAGTGGCAATTGTGCAGTGAGTGTATTTGGGCCCGTATGGTGATAATATTGGATAAACTGAGAGGCCAAACATGAAATCTCAGAGAGACTAAACTAAAGAATGGAAGTGAGATACAAGAAAAAATGGTGAACGTGTACAGCTTCTTGGCCCTGAACAATGGTGGCCATTTAATGCACATGATTTTCCTTACAAAGTCTTGTTGCAGCTGGTGTGGTAGCTCATGCCTGTAATCCCAGCACTTTGGGAGACTGAGGCAGGAGAATCCTTTGAAGGCAGGGGTTCAAGACTAGCCTGAGCAACATAGCAAGACCCCATGTCCGCACACACACAAAAAATTTTTTTAAGTCTCCTATTAAGTGTGGCGGTGGGGGGCAGGCGCGGTGACTCACGCCTGTAATCCCAGCACTTACGAGGCGGGTGGATCTTGAGGTCAGGAGATCGAGACCATTCTGGCTAACAATGGTGAAACCCCATCTCTACTAAAAAATACAAAAAATTAGCTGGGTGTGGTGGCAGGCGCCTGTAGTCCCAGCTACTCAGAAGGCTGAGGCAGGAGAATGGCATGAACCTGGGAGGTGGAGCTTGCAGTGAGCCGAGATCGCCACAGCAGTCCAGCCTGGTTGACAGAACGAAGACTCCATCTCAAAAAAAAAAAAAAAAAAAAAGGCAGTTCTCTCCTTCTGTGAGAACTAAATTAGATGATAGACATATATAAAGCAAATAGTACTTTATGGTGGCAAAACCAATGATAGTAAATGTAGGGTAGCTGTTGATAGCAACTTCTGTTTTTTTCTTTTTTTTCAAGAGGGAGTCTTGTTCTGTCACCCAGGCTGGAGTGCAGTGGCATGATCTTGGCTCACTGCAACCTCCGCCACCTGGGTTCAAGTGATTCTCCTGCCTCAGCCTCCTGAGTAGCTGGGACTACAGGTGTGTGCCACCATGCCTGGCTAATTTTTGTATATTTAGTAGAGACGGGGTTTCACCATATTGGCCAGGTTGGTCTGGAACTCCTGACCTCTGGTGATCCACCCGCCTCGGCTTCCCAAAGTGCTGGGATTATAGGCGTGAGCCACCGCGCCTGGTCCAGGGTTTTTATAGCCCTATCTTTCTACTAGAAGCAGCAGTTTCTTCTTTTTGGACACTGAACTTCCAGATATGACAGGGATGCTTTGCACACTTAGATTTTCATGGAGTCAATAAAACCTTAGCTTTCCGTGAAAATGTTTAAGAGACATTTGGGAAACATGTTTTTAAAAATTTTAAAGTGAATTTAAATGGCATTGTGTTTGTTGTGCAATCTCTCCCTTTAACAAACCCACACTTGTTGGGTTAGCGCCTGCCAAGCTTTTCTCCAGGGGAGACCCTCTTAGGCAGTCCTGCAGTGCCGCTCTGCAGCATTGCTTCTCATCTGTTGATGCAGTTGGATCTGGGGAGAGACGCAGCAATTAGCTGTGCTGGAGAGGGCCGAGCAGCCACAGGCATGCACACCCACATGTATGCCCACGGACATGCACACGTGCACACACACATGCATGCTCATGGATATACCCATATACTCAGGCTCACCAAGCCCTGTCCCTGATTTGACCCTGCTTGCCTTGCTGCCTGCGCAGTGGTATAATGGAAAAGTCTCTTCTTCACATCCGCCGCTGCCCTTCCCCCACCCCAGGCTCACTTAGCAACAGTGGAATGAAATGAAGGTCACTGTGTGTCAATCGGTGTGTCCGGGAGATTCCCAGCTGGCTTGCTTCCTGGTAGGCAGGTATGAGTGTATGCTGCTGTTCTCTCTTTTCAGGTTCTGTGTTGCTGTTTGTTTAGCTCTGAAGTATAGATGGCTCAGTGCTAGCAGACACATTTTCAAAGGCTTATATTCTTGAGTTGTTGGTAACCAGAATTGGGCAGGAGAAGTGGGGTGGATGCAGACCAGCTGACCACACTGGCACCACTAGCAGTTTCAGTTTCATCTATTTGTGAAGAGGAAATATCTAATCTGAAAACTTATTAGGGGCCTGGCGTAGGGG